TCGACAACCATCCAATGAATCATGTTGATGACGAGGATGGAATTTGCAAGTTGTGTGGTAAGTGTGGACGTATGTATATTGGATGACTATAGGAACATGTTTCGGGTGTGGTTGTCAAAGTTAGGGTTGGGCAAAGATATCCGTTATCCATCTTTTACTCATTATCCGGCTTGTAGCCGTCTTAAAAAAAAGGTACCCGTGACTTCCGAATTGGGTAAAGGGTATTATAATCCAATTACCTGCGAGTAAGGGTCAGGTATTGAGTATTTTTTTTTTTACTACTCGTCTTAGTACCCATCCTACTACTCGATTTATTACCTGACCCGTAAATACCTGTATTTTATATCACTGATATATTTAATAAATTCAATTTGGTATATAATTTGACTTGAAATTTTTTTTTTTATAATGTATTTTCAATTAAGAAAATATGAACATAAAAAAAAATTAATTATCTAATTGTAGAACCCATAATACATTAGTACTTGCCCCCTTGGTATTGTTCAGAACCCGAACTAACAAATCGTAGAGCCCATAAAACATTATTACGAGCCCAATTATAATAGGACTTATCTGATCTTCGATGAAACCTCAACCTGCAAATTTTTACCAGAGAAAAATTTAGCCCATCAAAGTTAAAGCCTATCCTTTCTTATAAGTATAAAAGATAGCACTAACCTCTCCCATAACTTTTGACCTAAATCTTTATGCTGGTTTTTGTTTCGGCTATCTAGGGTTCTTTGAAAAACGGCACATTATCTCTCTTGTGTTCACTGGTCACTGGTCAGACACAGATTAATTTCTATCTCTCTCCACCTTTATATCTCCCTATTCCTGTGAATATCTATATCTACTTCTATATTTCTATTCAGATTTCAAGTACTTGGCTTTTCAACTGTTTCGGTCTATAAATTTCGTTGTATCTAGCTCTCTGATTTTTATTATATTTTCTATGTATTGTTGTAGATGGAACCTAAGCAAAATGAGTTTCCACCCGGAGGACAGAATGTACTTTCAGATAATGAAGGAGATCCAACCAAGGAATCTGAGGTATCTTCAAAATCTGGATCACCTGCTTGGGGTAACTTTACGAAAATAGAGAGTGGTGATAAGGATAAATGTCATAATTGCAACAAAGTGGTTAGTATAAAGAGTAAATCTGGTACTTCTACTAGTACTATGTTGAAGCATATGAGGAGATGCAAGAAACTAATCCAGAGCTTGATGTTGAAGTAGTTGCTGGAAAAAAATTGAAACAGACAACCATGTTCCATCGATCTAGCAAAGAGAACATTGTAGGTTGTTCCATCATATTTAGTTTTTGATCAGGCAGATTCACGCAGAGCTTTATTGGTGATGATTATAAAGGATGAGCTACCTTTCAGGTTTGTCGAGAAAGAAGGATTTACTCAATACATGAGCATTATTCAACCTCGCTTTGCTATTCC